AAAAAAAAAACCTACATAGAGTATGTGCAAATGAAAATTAAGACTCGCTTACACCTCTGATTACAACTCTGACCTGATATAGCAATGAAAATTGGTTCATCTGCAGGTTCCTTCCTCCCACCCCCCTTCCCATTTTTAATGCATCAACAGTCAGAGTCTCCTGAGCAGACATTTTTCTGAACGCTGGGGAAACAATGAAAACCAGATATATTTTGAATAATCTCTCCCTTCCTAAAACAGCTTTCACCTAGATCAACATATAAACTTAATATACACAATTATACTTTGATTCAATCCTGACAACAGAGTTTAATGGAGAGAACATTAGATTAAGGGTCAGGATTTTCAGGTTCCAAACCTGACACAGTGACTTTAGATGAGTCTCGTAACTTCTTGTGCCTCAATTTCCTTTTTAAAATGAGGGTCCTGAGTTTAATGATCTCTAAGGTTGTTTAGCCATTTAAAATGTTTAGATTCTAAGAAGGACAAACCCAACCAGAATAACATCGAATTATCTATTATTTTTCTTTTACTAAAATTTATTTTAGTTATTTTTAATTGGCAGATAAATATTGTATATACGCACATGTTTATGGGCATATAACTTGATGTTTTGATAATTGCATACATTGTGGAATGCCTAAATTAAGCTAATTATCATATCTATTACCTCATATACTTTTTAATTAGGTGCAAAATGATTATGCATTTATTTTTTTGTTTCAAATTAATATGAGGGCACCAATTTTTAGTTACATTATTCTCACTTCCAAGGTAAAGTTCAAGTTGCAGTTGAGCCCCTCACCCCAGGGCAAGCTGAATACCCTCATTTTGTGCACACCTCACATACTTTTTTTTTTCATGTGATGAAAACCTTTAAAATCTACTCTCTTAGCAATTGTCAAGTATATAATACATTGTTGTTACCTGAAATCACTAGCTGCACACCAGATCTCCTGAACTGACTCCTCCAGTCTGACTGGTATGTGGGTCCTTTGACCAATGTTCCCCATAACTTTTCAGTCATTCATTAGTTCATACAACACATATGTTTTGAATATCTAACGTATACCTGGAATTATACCGGGGGTGGAGATACAGGTGTGCGTAGAGAAGGTAGTAATCTGGGAGGGGAGGCAGTTATTAATCAAAGAATCGCACAAATATAAACCATAACTGGGACAAGGACTATGAAAAAAGGTCCATGCTACCACGACATTGTACACCAAGGAAAAACTTCCCTTGGGGAATAATGATTGAGCTAAAATCAGATTAAGAATCAATTAAGTAAATGTTTCCAGGGAAGGAAAGAGCACTCCAGAAA